TGGGATTAATAGTTTAACTTCGCACAATGAAATCATTTGGAAACTTCTTGACGTCATTGAATTTCACTTGTCATTGACTCATTAAAGGTTTTTTTCATTCAGGGTTGAGTGCAGTTTTATCAGGATTTCTCACTTATGTCGGCATATCTTTCATTTTGTTTGAAAGTCACTTGTAAATTGACTTCACCGGAAGCCAGAGGTTTGCCTTGAATTTGTGTCTTTAGATTTGTGCGAATAAATCATAGGCGCATCGCCTCTCAATATCGATTAATTCGTGCTGAGGTTCGCCTGTCATGCGACGGACATTGTCAGAGCAGAATGCCATGAGTTACGATAATTTACTAATCTCAAAGGCATGAAAAGTAGCCTGCTGCAATCCCACCTACTTCGTATAGCCTGAGTTTGTCCAATGAATAAGAAGTAGGTAGGATTTTATTCTATTCATTTCATTGTGAGAAATTAAACTATAAGTTTTCATTAATTTAATTGACTTAAGGTGACTTGCGTCCTATTAGGCATCTACCGATAGTCTCTAAACATATTCAACTTATGATGCCGCGATGTGGGCAATTGTATTGTCAGATCTTCATTAAACATAAACGATCTAGAGGGATTAAAGTTCTTGTACAAGCTCTCCACGCAACGCACGAATTAATTATTTCTTTAAAAGACTTCAATTCTTATTTAGAGCTTCTTTGCTAATTAAATTTGTGCATGTTTGATAATGCCTAAGCTGCTGTATTGATGAGGTGGTCGGCCAAAGGTTGGACATCAGTGCAGTTGTTCATTATGGTCACTCTTGTCTTACCTCTTCTGCTTGCCGTCTTCCAATCCTATACGTCTTCGGTCCAGCACCTTTACACAACCCAGAGTTGACATTTGCTTGGCTGACGAGTGAAAAAGCGATTAGTTCAGCTCTGCGCCAGCTGACTAGTCAAAATTTACCAACGTCTAGCCAAGTTGAAGCGACCATCCCCTGCTCCCAGTTTCATTCAGTTCTTTTGATTCTGATTTCTTACGACTTGCGTTATCGTCGCATGGCATTTGCCTTTTATCAGGCTCTCCAGAACCGAATTTCAACATCAGGTTGCCCTAATATAGCTTTATCTTGGTCAGAGCCCGACTTGCCTTCTTCTGTTCTTGCCGAGTCACCAGATTTAATGCTAGAAGCTCGGTCGGTGATTTTAACTGCGTGTGGTCGCCGCTTTTTCAGCCCTAATTTGGAAGATAAAAAGGTAGATAGATAACTTCTTTTAACATTATAAACTTGATATACTAGTCACGTGTTAATACCTGTTCAATTAATAATTTATTCTGAGATTTTTCCTATCGAGACATATTTTACTCAACTTTATCCTATACCTTTATTTAGTGGCTGATTATTTTATACTAATTTTAGATGAAACATTGGCCAAATTATAGCATTGTTACTAATCTCCTTAAGGCTCATAATGGACAGAAGTGTTATACCGAGCGGATGAAATCCCTTGAATTTCATTAAATTTTGCCTCAATATATGAAGTCTAAAATTGTGTGGCCACTATTTTGGCAGCGGTCTCATTTCTTTGTATAAGTGGTTGCACCTCGTTTACACAATTTGTTCGTGTTGTCATCGGGATCTAGATGAACGCACCTTGCCCTAGGATCAAGGTTCACGCTTCAGACCGTGGACTTGTTTCATCCCCAAAAATTTCGTTGGTTTCGCAATCAGTATCGACAGTGGGCCTTAATAATCCTGACACAAATCCAAAATTTGTTGGAGGCAAGTGAAGTTGATTCCATGTCTAACCTTTTGTTGAACATTTGTGATATATTTCTTGTCATTATTTAATGACCTCTCCTATATTCTCGTATTTACCCTTTACTATCGCAATTATTTTCGTTTATAAGTATGTTTTTGAGACTAATTTTCAAATATCACAATTACTAACGTGCTATTTTGGCCTATTCCATAGATCACGCTCTTTTTGTTGGGCACAAAAAAAAACTCATCTCTTGAGAAATGGATTATAAAAAAATCTGAAGTTATGATAGGGTGGGGATGGGATAATAGTATAGAAAGTAGATAGAGTAGCCAGAACAGAAAAAGGAATGATAGCACAACCGCATCGGCAGAAAGTTAGTCAAGGGATTGACCTCACTCGTCTCTGACGCATTGTAGCTTGGTGCTTATAATAGCAAAACTCACTGACTATTCCGGCAAAACGTCTGGGAATGTACCAAATCCACGGTTCAACGCTGAATATAATCATATCTACTAAAGTCAGAGGGCCTCAGACAAGGTGCGTATAATTATGGCACCATGACAACACGAAAAAGTTACGAAAACAAGGTTACATCACTTCTATATGAGTAAGCTTCATGTTTTCATTAATTTTCTTAATTTTTTCCTGGGTGGACTGCAGTTTCGACCTCTCATAGGTCTCATCAGCATCCCCCTGGGACTTAAAACCTTGTAGTGCAGCGTATAATTCCTACAAGTTAACCACTATACCACGAGTGCCTTTAGGCTATAATGCATAGTGAATCTCAAGGAAGCCTAGATCCTTTCCATATCACATTTATTTGATTTAATCTACCGGTAGTCTTGGAAGCCTATTTATGTAAGGAAGAATAAGTAATGTAATAGGTTGCTACAGCAAATAAAACTTTGCTTCGATAATCTCACCTCAGAAATGCGATATGAGAAAGGCTTAGACTTTCTTGGAATTCAATTTTGAATTATAACCTAAGGACACTTGT